CACTATCATTATCATAATATTTATCCACAACCAGAGTATGGCATACAGTCATGATTAATTATACGATTACAAGAGAATGGGACAGGACTGGGGGGTTTTAGAGTGCTTGGGATTGCGCAAAACAACGGCAGTCTCATGGTGTGCAGTTTATCATTATCATAATATTTATCCCCAACCAGTGTGTGGCATACTGTCATTCATGATTATACGATTACAAGAGAATGGGACAGGACTGGGGGGTTTTAGAGTGCTTGGGATTGCGCAAAACAACGGCAGTCTCATAAACGGTGTGCAGTATCCAATGTAGACTTGACCACGCCCAAACGGCATGGGAAGGGAGACAAATTACCAGGACTTTATCTTACTTTGAGGGGCATACCAAGCTGAAACAAGGTCATATCGTTGGGGTTTGAAGGCGGCAGGCAAAAAACAACGAGAAAGGACGAACAAGAGGCATCATACTTGGTGCATTATGAGAAAGCTTCAAACTGCCTGTACAGCAAAGGCCAGTCTAAACGTGAGTTCATGTTCTCGGTATGAATTCAATTTGGTATGAATTCTATCAAACTTTTAGTGTGCCCTCCGTCTAGTAAAACCCCACGCCGCTAATCATTTTTTAGTTTACCAAGCTTGCACATGGATCATTCTCCAGAAATAACTCTGGAATTGTGCAGACCATCATAAATTTTGCAGTTTGCAGACAACCCCCTCATTTGTCGAGCCACTCTGGCAAACCTGACGCTCAGTCGCACCTCGCTTTCCTCTACGACTGGCGCCGAAACACCCCTGAACTTTACGATAACACAGTTCTCGGACAAAATGCGACCATCCCCCCATTATGTTTTGCTTTCTCTCTGAATTGCCTCATGCATCGGTAGCCTGTACTCTTTGCCTGATCCACATGTGCTGCACTGGAAGCCAGACCTTTTCCAGGCAACTAACCCCTAGTTCCCTCCAGCTGGGCCCATGCCGTGGATTAGTCTATCAGCTCTGTTCAATAACTGGTGTTATGTTTCACCTACGCATAACCAGCATAAACCAAGGCCAACTAATATCGGCGTCACTTAATCCTGAGAGCGCACCAAAAGCCAAAAGATCTTTTGGCGATGCACAGTGGACGAAACCGTTGTAGGGCTCCATAAACGATTGAACACGCACACATAACATTACCGTGATACTCTCCTTGACCTGGTAACTCACCTTTGTCATCATTTAGCCATAGGGCACACGCTCCACACATCGGCTTCTGCTTCTTTTGATTCAGTATTAGCTAACATTCAATTATCCTCCTCCGAGGTCCCAGCGACCGTTTGTGGCTCGCGTGTTCCGACAAACTCAGCTGTTTCACTGGCCTGGTTTTCCATTGACTAGTTAAAATATCTTGCAGCTAGAGCTCCTTGTCAATTCACAAACCGCAATTTACCGCTTGGTGGCTTGTCACCTTGTAGAGATGGTATTATGCAAGATGGTGGTGGTTGCGTGCACGCCGCATAGAGGGTCTCCTTTTCGCGTTACACCATAAAACGTTTATATATTTTCCAATCCTTATAGCAGCACGAGTCCTTTGCTTGTCACCGGTCGTTTTGAGCCCGTCCTTTGGTTCAGGAAATCCATAAAAAAGCACTGTTGTTTCCTGTTTGCAACCACTGGGTTTGACCTACCCCGGTCGCGTCATTTATCTGGCAATCATACAAACTACAGATGGTAGGAAACTGAAAATTTGTATAAAAATTTCAAAAAGTGCATGAAATAGTCTAAAGATACTCTGCGGTGCCCGGGGTTCACATAGACATGTGAAGCCGCAGCCACCTCCATCTTGGTTAGGGATTAACCGGATCGAGGCCCACATTGTAAACCGGCCATAACACATGCATTCGTCTCCACTGCTCATGTGAATGGCCACACGAAATAAATAAATTTAAAAATTATTGGAAACCATAATCCTCTTCTACCAGCATCCAAGGTGAGCGCCTGTGGGCTTTTTCGTCAAGGATCACTTGCCGACTGCAGCTGAAAGCATTTTCGGGGACTGACTACTCTTTCTCGTAGACTCATTTTTTCTCTTAATTGTGTTTTCCAACGCACGCAGCTAATTTCAGATAAACTAATACAACACCTAGGAAGTTCTATTCCCATCGGTGTTCGCTGTCACTTATTGCACCACCTCTATATACACCTATTTTTTATGACCCGTAATATAACGGTACTAAATGGGCATGCTTCAGCGGTCCGTGACATTCACGCTACTGAGCACAAATCTAACTCTGTCCTGCCTCAAATAGCCACTTGCTGTCACCATCCTAATTACGATACCTCCTCAAACTCATTAGGTCCTACTTATCCCAATCCGTTTCATCCTCTTTCCAAGTGTTGATCTTCGGCAGCACGCGTTTTAAAAGCCCTGTATTGTCGACGTTCCCTCCAATTCGTCCGACCTCCACATATAAATGGATCAACAACTAAACCAAAAATACCTGAGATCCTATATTGGCTTCGTTTTCCCTGTGTGGTTATCCTTGTCCAACCCAAAATCCCAACACCCACAAAAGTACACATCGCTGGTCCGATCACCTCAAATTCGTCTAGCTGCGCAGCGCACAACACCCAACAGATTAGTGGAAGACAAAACTATTTCCGTATTGGAGAGATCAAGTTATTCTGTGTCAACCTCTGGCACCGATAACGCTTCGGGCCGACTGCCGACTCCACAGCCTGAATTTCCCACTAGCCCGCTGCTCGCGACTTTCGAAAGGGCTCCAAACATTTTGCGCCGATTGGACCACGTGATTTCTACTCCGAAGACCATTTACTTCGTAAAGCCTTGATTTCCATTTCTGGTAGCCAATGGTGGCGACCGAGAGGGATCAGTCCTTGACATGGACACAAAACATGAGAGCCCTTGATAGTCAACTTTGTCATAATTATAACTACAATGACCCGGATCTGGACTGCGAGACAAAACAAATCAGTTGGTAGTGACGCTGACAGACATGGCTGGGTCATGTTACTATTGGCACCATTACATCAAAGATATCGCCTTCATAGCAATGTTCATTCCGAACTACTGGGTGGCTCACCGTCAGACACGATCGTACTGTTGCATTCAGAATAAAAGCGTTGTTGGCGGGGTTTGTGGATGAAGGGGATCGCGCGTCAGCAAGGTGGTGTCACAAAAAGTCGGCGTCGTTCGATGTCGACGTGGTCACCACTAAACCGAATCGGGTAGGGAGGCATAGTTTCTATTGCTTTTAGGGGGACACGGACGCAAGCAAGACCGGATCGGTGGAATTTGAGGGTGGCTTTCGAAACCAAAACAAAGTAGGGCGAAAAAGTGGCATCCTGTCTGACTCGTGACAAGAAAACTGCAAACTGCCAGAAAAACGGATTCGGTGAAGCCGCTAATTTTGGGTGGTGCAGCTGACCAGCTTGAGCTCAAATGTAAATCATATGCTGAGGCCACATAGCATGAGGCTGTTGAGAAAAAGAAAAGGGTAACCAAGAGCGCAGGCGAAAACGATGAAGTAGATGGATTGACAATGCCGACAACTGGTAGCAGGAATCAAAAAAGCATGATATCAAGTGAAATGTTTCAGAGGAAATGGCGCAGCTGCTAGAGTGGATAGTAGTGTAAAGGATCTCTGGGAGAGTAGGTTGGTGGCAGCATGCAACCCGGAACGCAAATGGCGCAGAAAATTATTGACTTTGTGAAAAGTGTAGACCGAAAGTCCACCGAAGTGGCTATATTCGAACGAAAGGTGCAACAAAGTAAAACGAACGCGTCCTGGAATAATCTTTGTTGTGATTATGGAAATCAAATGTATAGGACTGATGTGGGTAAACTTCTTAGATGGTTGATTTATTAATCTGTTATCTATAACATGAGTTAGACAGTACCAGAAATGGAATTAATTGTGGGAAAGTTATCCATCTGTCCCGAAACACCGCCATTAGCCTCAAGTAACCACCAGCCTCAAGTTAATAAATGATGCATTACGAATAAAAGGCCTTTGGGCACTAGTCTTGAATGCTGGCAGTGAAGGGTTAGGAACGTTTGTATGCATATAATTCACATTTTATTTGTTCACTCTTGGGAGCAGCATGTAGGTGGTTGTTCTTTGGGGGTTCGACTGAGTGGGTTCTAGTGCGGTACAGCCACAATTATAATAAGGGCAGCTGCAGCTCCACACGTTGGTGCTAGCCACGGGCATCACAGAGTCTCTAAACTATTCCAGGAGGCCAGTTTTTTTATTTTTCACCGTCTATAGCTATAACTTTGTCAGTTAAATGACGCAACCAGGACGAGTCCAGTCCAGCGGCAACAAACAGAAAATAACAGTGCTCTCTTATTGATCTCCTGAACTAAAGGCCATGCTCGCAACCACCGGCGATAGGTGAGGCACCCGTGCTACTGGAGGGCTGGCGGGTATACAAAGGCACCACAGTGTAACAAAACAAACAAACAAAACAAGGCGACTCTCCCTGCAGGATGTTTTTCGGACGAGGTTTTTATCTGTCGTGCACGCCGACAGATCAGCAAGGTTGCATGCCATCAAGCAGTCATAAATGCTGCTTCCTGTGCTTGGAAGGAAGCGATTGTCACGTCAATCTACAAAACTGGTGACCGACTATCGCCTGTACAGGCCCATAAGCCTCACTAGCGTGCCGGGCAAGGTGATGGAACGCATTCTGGAGCGAGCTATCCTAGATCACCTTACTTCCAGCAACCTGATATCTCCAACTCAACACGGATTTCTCCCAAACAGCTCTTCCATAACAAGTGTGCTCGTGTGTATGGCCAGCTCAACCCAAGCCAAGGACGAACGACCCATATCGGATGCCATATTTTTCAATTTCTCAGAAGAACTTGATAGAATCCCGCATGACCCGCTTCTCCACAAACTCGAGTCCTATGGGTTTCAAGGGAAATCCCTCACTGGATCAAGGCATCTCTATCAGACAGATCATTCCGGATGAGAATAGACTCGACCTACTCTTCTACAGCGCTGGTCTCCGTTGGAGTCCCTCAAAGCTCCGTCCTGGGACCAGTGATGCTTCTGATCTACGTCAACGACCTTCCTGATGTTCTCGCACGCCCGCGTCTTTCTGGGAACAACTTCAAATCCTGGAGTTCCAATGCCAGTGCCCTCCAAAGGGATGTGGATGCTGCAATGCAGCGGTCGTTTCACTGGCACATTCCTCTTAATGATAAAAAGTGAGTCCATAGGTCATTTGGAGGAGACTCGGCGATTGCCTTTGTCATACATAGTGATAAAGGGCCAGAAAAC